TATAAAATATAATGATAATAATTTCACTAAGAAAAAGACAATGTTAAATTGAATAAAAAGCGCATAAATAAATCACTGTTTGCATAAAAAGATACATAAATACATTTGATTTAAACTAATGCAACCAAATAAAATAAATTTACAAAAAACAAAACAAAACAAAACAAAACAAAACAAATATATGTTAAGATATAATAGACGAACAACATTTATTATAAAAGATAAAGATTTATTTATATTTTATTTGTTTTTCATAAATATAATTATTTATTTAATGTTTATAGAAATTGTAATACATCTGACTTGATGTTTCATTTAAATTCTTATTAAGTTGCAGTACGTCGATAATTATTATCATTTATTTGATTTTGATCTAATCGACATATTTCTCGAATCCATAAAGCTACATCTTGATTATCACTTTCACTTTCATATCGTTTATAAAATGGATGATGCTAAAGAATCAAGTTTTTTTTTTTTTTTTTATTAAATTAAATATTTAAAAAAAAAAATTTTTTTTTTTTTCATACTAATAATGTGTTCAAATCAGCTCGTTCTGTTGTACTTTTTTTCAAACTAAAATTTATATTTAAATAAATAAACAAATAATGACTATAGGAAAAAAGAAAATCTTTACCAACGATCAATAAAATCACAAAATTCAGGAGAAAAATGTGTTTTGGGTAATGATGGTGGAGCTTCATTCACAATCCATTCCATTAATTCAAATATTGCTAATACTTTATAACATCCAAATCCTTAAGTTTAAAAAAAAAATTCAAATAAAGAAAAAGAAAGATTTTTATTATAAAATAAACCTTCTGGTCGAGATCGATTTCCATTTGGATCTTGTTTAAATAAATCATCAATATCTTTAATTGATGGTGGTGGAATTGGATATCTTCCAAGAGCCATTTCAACAAGTGAAAGACCTAATGACCATATATCACTCATTATTCCATAATGTGCACCTTCAAGTCTTTCAGGCTTTTTAATAAAATATTAATAATTTATATATTTATATATTATTAAATAATAAATGACTTACAGACATATAAGAACGTGTACCTATAAATGTTTGTAATGTTGAATCAATTAATTGTGCACTAACACCAAAATCGCATAATTTTATTTCACCTATTTTAAAATAATTTTTTCTTTTTTATTTATTTATTTATTTTATAATTAACCTTGATTATTAACAAGAATATTTGATGGTTTTATATCTTAATTAATAAATAATTCAAATTATTATTATTATTATATTAAATAATAAGAAAAAACAATAAAAATAAAACCTCTATGCATAATACGATGTCGTTCTCTTAAATAACTTAAACCACGAAGAACCTTTTCAATAATAAAAAATAATTTATTAATTTTTTTTTTTTTTTCTTTTTTAATATATTTAAAAACTTACAGCGACTGTTATTTTACCAAGAATATTTTCTGGAATACGCATTACTTTCTTCAATATTAAATCTAATGAACCACCATCCTATAAAATAATAAATATTTTATTAATTATCAATTTTATTAAAGAATATATTTTATAATAACAATATTGATTAATATTATAATCTATTTTATATAGATTTTATATTGTCAATTAATCAAAAATTATAGAAATTCTATCATACTATTAAATATCATAACGACAGA